ACTACTCGTGGCTCTGCTGCTGATTTCACTTGACAGAAAAGAAAACGTGTTTTAAAAAAAGAAGACGAATCGCTTTAACCTCAGCTGAGCGTCTTTTGCTTTGTTTTCCTGTGAAGCCGGATCAGGTTTAATATTCATCCGGGCCACTGGCTGGCGTTTCTTATTAATCATGATTTGTGCGACGGAAAAAAAAAAAATCAGAAATGTTAATGTCCCCGACTCCTAAAGTAACACAGACGCAATTTATGGGTTGTATTTTAATTTCCTCTACAAGCGTGAATATTATTTACTTTGACATTGTGCAAATGAGGTTTCATGCATTTTGAAAGTCGACGGGGAAAAAAGTCGGGATAATTACACGGCTTGTCCGCGGCCGCACCGATTTTATTCAAATTTGCCTCCAAAAAAAAAAAAAAAAAAAGCTGCTCTGGTGTCTGGCTTCAGCTGCTGCGTTGAAAAGGATTTTATTCCATTTTCCTGGTTGCACCTCTTCAGATTCGTCTCGTTGCAGAGGCGACTGTGAGGCCGGCGCTCGTCAAATGCTGCCTCCAACTATTTCCAGAAACTTGTGCGGTTTCTGTGCGGAGTGCGTGACCCGTGTCTTCGACAAACCTTCCCCCCCGACTCCGCTACAGTAAGCGCCATTTATAAAATCCTCCACAGCGCGACCCCGCTCACCCCTTCCACAGTCCAGCAGGCATCACCCGGCGGGCCGAGGAGCCGGGCCGCCCCGCTGTGCTACATGTGCTTTTACAAATGCACCTTTGTGTGGCTGAGCGTTCTGCACCAGCTAATAATTTATAAAGGAGGAAGAGTCGGACTAACTTAATCGTTTTCGGCTGTTTCAGTCCCTCTAAATGTTTTATTCGGCCGGGTTTTTTTCCCCCAGAAATCTACTTACCTGAGCCACCTACAGGCAGCGGGGAACCCTCTCCCCGTCCTTGGCGGCGCATTAGACAAAGAAATAGAGTTGTTCTCCAAAGATCCTTCAATCCCGTTTGACCTCTTCGGGAGTCTTTCAAGTAAACTCGCAAGCACTCAGCCTAAACCTCCCCCTTCAATTCGAGCAGCTCCGCGTTTCAACACGTCACAGACGAAAGAACCTGAAAGAGATGGGGGAAGAAGAAGGAAGGAAAAAAAATAAAAAATCAATCATACCAATTCCTCTTAAAGTTCAAACCGCCTCCGGTTACCTGGCCATCGATCCGCTGCTCCTCCACTCGATTGCATGTGGGACTGTTGCTGCAGTGTTCAAGCGCTCGGGCCGCCGCCGCCGCCGCCGCTGCATTTCCTCCCGGAGCTTGTTTTCTCTCCTCGGAGCCGCTCGGAGCACTTACAGGATCAGGGAGAGAATCAGCCCTGTCATACAACATTAATGCCGAGATCGCTTCTGCTCAGCGGGAGAGCCACAAGTTTTGATTCCAAGGTTTCCCTCTAATGAATTCCGTGTCGTTATTGACAGCGAGGAAAAGTGGGTTATGAAGCTGCAGCCTCGCTCGTCCGCCGTGGCCTCGAGGCTAATGACGATCCTGCAGCAGCCGGCGGCCTCTCCGCTTCCTCGCTGCATACGCTAACGGTGTTTGCAAAGGGTCTAGACCATTAAGGACGACTTTTTTTTTTTTCCTCCCCCCTCCCTAGACAGCAGATGAGGCTCGGTTAGGCAACTTAAAGATTTCTCTTGACAAAGAATAATGAGACTATTGATTGTCCTACGAGATATTTACCAAAGTCCACTTTGAAACAGCCAAGCGCCTTGACACCTGAGACGGGCTGCATCCTCTGAATGCAACTCTGGGAGGAGGAAAGAAAAAAAAAGAAAACATAAGCACCAGGAGGAAGAGAAAGAGAGATGTACGGATGTCTACTTTCACTGTTTAGCTCTTTTTTTTATTAAAGCCATATGGGTTGGTCCCAGTTTCTTGCTTTATGTCAACATTTACAGCCAATTATTTTAGAAACTGACAAGGATTTGTTCAAAAATATATATATGCAAAAATAAGCAAGCAGGTAAATAATAGTAATAATAAAAAAGGGAGAAAGAACGAAAGAACATGAGGCAGAAGAAATATATACAGTCGTGTCTTGATAATCCGACCCTTGACAATCCGACAGCCTTGCTATCCGACATGAAAGAAGGTTTTACATTTAGTGTCGGATTATCGAGTCACGATAAATTAATGAGAAAAATAAATCAAAATGTACTCGAATGTTTTCCGTTGCTATTTTTATAAATTGGAAAAATCTTCATAGTGATAATGTTGCGTTTGAGGCCTTGATATGAGGTTTTAGCAGCATCACAGCAGTGGAATACTGAAAAATCAAAGACGTTTTATTCTTCTCCCCGTCCACCATCTGTGTGTTTCTAAAATCTTCCTCACGACGACAAACTACAACAACCTCAGAGCGAAAAATGGACTTTAGAAAATTAAGGATTTGATAAAGATTTGGACACAGAATTAGCTGTTTTGTTGGCAGTGCTCGCCGCTTTGCTGGGACACCAGCACTGCATCCTGGGCTCAGCACCACCCAGGATGACTGCGACTTTTTTCATCCTCTATAACGAGATAATAATAATCAGGTGTAATCAGACCATCCTCCAGCTGTGGAAATAGATCTTATCAGAGCATAAAGCAACACAAATAAGACAGTTAGGTAGATTAAAGGAAGAGAAAAATGAAAGTAAAAAGCTACGGTGCAGATTTAAAGTTTTAAATGCAGATGATTGGCAGATTAGTGTAGCTTTATTAGAGAAATTATAATTAATTCATCTTTTAGGTCAGTGGTTCCCAAACTGGGGAGATATTCGTGGATATTTGAGACTAACAGAGATGCAGTTTTGTAGCTAAACTACAACCAACGCTCCAAGAGATGTATACCAAGCTCAGAGTGTGGTTGGTTTTAGGAGTCACCATTAACAAACCCTCTAAAAGAAGAAACAAACACACAAATGGGCATTGTTGTAACTGATTTATAATGAATAAAAACACCCTCATTGGATGCAGTTTGTCCTTTGTGCCATTGCAATCCTTTCTTTTAGTTTCTTTTTCTCTATCTGGAGCATCAGAAACTCTCCTTAAACACTCCCTCAGGGTTTTCCTTCCATATTCTCCTCCGTCGCCACAGTTCCTTCCTTCTCCATCTTCGGCAAACTGGAATATTTTGCTTTACAGTCGAATAAAACGTCCATCAGGTGCAGTTTGATTCACAGAAAGTCGTCCAGCACCGATAAATTCAAAACATATTAGACGAACACGGCACAAAATCCAGATATTTCTGTTTGATTCTAGAATTTGATACCATAAGTTTTTCTGTTTTAGCTTTTTTTCGCTCATATTTCTGTTGTTGCTACAAACTGTGGTCGACTCTATAAATAAACTGGGTTTGATTTGACGTCTCCCACACTGTCACTGTTCATCACGGGGAAAGAAAGAGGCGCAGTGACATCTGTAGTTACAGTTTGTTGGGGGGAAAAAAACAACAAACAATAGCAGATGGAATAAAAGCCTGTTTCTATTAGTGACACAGGAAGTGGATGTTACATATTGATGTAACCCCTCTGTGTGCAAACTACACCATAGGCTTCACTTATTTCTTCTTTCGTTTTGTGGTCAGATGGGGCAGATACGTTTAGAAAGCGCTTGATTTAGCTTCTGTTGATCAAAGCTCCCATCAATAATAATATAACTAATAAGAAAACAGATGAAAGAAGCCGACACCATGGAGGTTATCTTTGTTCTTCTGTCTTGTTTTACGCTGGTTGACATGAAGAAAGTTTGGTTTTCTGTCTGATCTCTGAGCTGTGATGTTGGTAGCGTCGCACCGCCACGCTGCGACGGCGACGTCGGGAACGGCGGGCGTCTTTTATTGAAATCGATTTGCGATCAATCAGCCTCACGCTTGATTCACGCATCAATAGTAGATTAACTTTACGCATGATCAGTGATGATGAAAATACAGAAAAATGGAAGTGCGTGGCAAAAAAATAGCACATTACACCCTTTGATCCAAACATCTCGCACCGTTGGAATGAAACTTGTGGAGCGTGAAAACTCTACATGACTAAAATCACCACATAAAACCCTCTATGCAATATTCAGTATTGAAGATGTCTGCAAGAACTTTGCTGTAGAGCTTCAGTAGGACCCTAGTAGGATGTACTGTGGCTCTACAGGCTCCAACAGATGGAGAAAACCTGTATTCTCTACATGTGTGTCATTATTGTAGATTAGCTGCAGTACCTGATTGTTCCACCAGGTGGAGCATCTTCCTGTTTATTACTGTGGCGACCAACAGGTTTAGGACCCTTGTTTTTCTACTGAATTGGGTGTAAAGTGCACTAATAACCTACTATATTAACATTTTCGGCTCAAAAACAAAAAATATCAGATCCGATTGAAAAAAAAAAGTTATTTATTACAATTATAAAACGTGCAATACAAAGCATTTTGAAGGCTGGAAATGATATGAATATAAAAAAGGTAAATTTGATATAAAAATCAAACTAATTACAAATATTTGCAACTATTTGCAGTCGTCCTCAAATGTATTCACACCCATCCATTAAAGAAAAGGCAAAACTCACAACAGTCACCGAAAGAACAAGAAACTGGAGAAAGTAATCATAAATAAAAATTTGCTAAATTATAATTTAGTGAAATAAGACGTTGATTTTGAATTGTGGTTGAAAAGAATAATTTTTTAAAAAACTGTCCAATTAGAGCACTTTGCTGATGAGCAGTGGGCCAGAATCCAAATTCCTGTCAACAGGTGCAGAAGTCTGACTGAGTTACAGAAAACACTTGATTGCAGTGATTGACTCAAATTGTTGTTCAACAAATGGTTAGTTTATGGTTCCCATCATGCTGGTTTGCTTGTTTGTTTGGTTTTTGTTTTGTTTTATGTTTCTGTTGAACCACAATTCAAAAACAATGTCATGATTTTCATAGAAGTTTTATTTATTATTAATTTTGTCAATTTCAGTTCAGCTGTTTTGTTCCTTCTTTAATGGGAGGCTATGAACACATTTGAGGACGACTGTACAAAGCAGGTTTTCTTTCTTTCTCTTTTTATCGATGCCACTCCTGAAAATAGTTTATGTCCAGAATGAGCCACGTCACCTTTTTTGCGCCTCCAAGGACTCACTTTCACTTTCGTTTTGTGAAACAACAAGAAATGCTGAAGATGTTGAAAGAAATGCGACGCCTGCGGTGCACATTTCATACGTGTTTTACGCACATTTCCCCACATGTTCATA